GGACAACACAGTGCGGGTGTGGGAGGCGGCGACGGGATCGTGCCGCAGCGTGCTCGAGGGCCATACTGAAGGGGTCAACGCCGTCGCCTTCTCGCCGGACGGCCAGTATATTCAAACAAATCTAGGAGATATTCCTTTACATTCTCCTTCCAACCCACCACCCTTATCCCAAAGAGAGCAGATGTCTCATATCTTCATACAACACCAGTGGATCACTCTAGATCAACAGCGGTTACTATGGCTTCCTCCTAAATATCGACCAACTTGCTCTATAGTTAAAAAAGACTTGGCCTGTTTAGGCCATTTCTCAGGTCGTATTACACTTCTTAAATTTTGCTGCAAGATTGAAATGTAACTTAGAGTTGAATGAATCTTAGGGCGTTGGATCATTCATATCATTGTAATATCTTCTAATATATTTATTATTCTCTCTATTTCATAGAGGTCCGGAGATCAGCAAGTATATATAGCATGCGAATTTGCCACAGAAACTTCGAGCACGCCCTGGATCAAGCGATGATACATATGTCCACCTGCACAATTTTGTGCTTAATATTTGCCACAGCGAAACTTCGAGATGCTCTTGATCGAGTGACCGGATGTTCACGTGCTCAAATGACGTGCTACGTTTACCACTTAATTAGAGGTACTCAGCGAGTACTGTATGCGAACCACTCGATCACACTAGCAGGGGAGGATTGCCGAACCGCTCTGGGCAGAGGGTTGTGAGGTGGCGAATTCTGCAGGTGTTTTAAAGGTTAGTTGTTGAGCGGGGACCGCAAGACCGCGGGGTTAAGGTCGGCCCGAACGCCAAGACTCCGCACAGCCACAGGCTAACAGTCATCACAAATAAATTACACCGCGATGATTATGTATGTTGGTCCGGGTCGTTATACACTAGCCGAAATTCGTAGCTAGTTCGATCGGAAGTACCGACCAGGGTAGCGGCCTTGTATGAAATTGTGCGCAAGAGTAGGCACAAGGCTAATAATAACTTCTTAGCATTATAGCAAGGTTTTAAGGCCTGATAAGGCTGCTTAAAAGTATTATAGAGTGGTAATAGCTTAATAGTAATGCTATAGAGAAGGAACTCTGTTACGCTATAAAGGGAGGCTCTCTACAAATTAGACGCGAAGGCGATAATGTAAACGTTATCTATAGGTGAGAGGCGTCCTACATCTTTAAAAATAGCCACATTACATTATTTATACCTAATTTTAGTAAGATCTTGACAGGTATGCAGAGTTATAGTTGTTTTAAGTCAAAGTACCTGTCATATTTTTTGGCACGGGTGGTATTTCGGCTCGGTTGGATGGACGTTTACTTCGAGGACCCAGAGGCCTCCGTCAGGAAATATCCAATTAAGGCGGACGGGAGGCAGCTTCTGGATAACAAAGAACCTCCTTGATGGATTTCGAGAGTTGCCAGAGATGCCTGGCAGATCGCGCCACATATGGATCAATGGCATCTGCACATATCCCGAACGATCCTGGATCAAACACTGCAAAAGCTGGAGGTCAGGACCTCTCTTTTCTAAGGTGTTTGATCTTACGCATTTTGTGTACTGGACTGGGAAAACTTGCTCTCCGTGTTATTTAATAGAAATATATATAACATACACTACTATTAAGTAACCTACACTATTAAGTGACTTAAAATCTGTCAGATTGAAGCACTGTTTCTGGGCTTCCTGAGATGAATGATGGGTTTGGATATGATGTATGGGATGATGATTGATTGTATTGATTTTTCGATCCTTTTTCTGCTCTACTCGTGTTGCTCAGCTTTTTGTTTTGCCGATCTGAGTCCCTCGCGCACTTGCCCTATGCGCGACCAGCTTGCAACATGCAGCAATTTGCTGCAACATGCAGCAATTTGCAGCAACATACTGTTCGAGCTTATTGCTCGTACTATGTAGCAGCTTTCGTCAAGCGTTCCTCCTGTCTTGACAGTAGGTGCGCATATCTGACAAAATCTCTTAGCAGCTACTACTACAATTTTAACATATAATACATTATGCTTTATTATTTTACCTTACTAAATCTACTTTTATTTTATAAACTTTAAAAGCTTTAGTTTGTAATTAACTAGTCTTAAGATCTTTTATATAAGAAATGCTTTAATTCTTTTCAGCTCTAGCTTTTTATAAGCTTGTTAAAGTTTTAAAAATTTTTTTATTAAAATATTAACTTTATTCTTTTTCTTAAAAGTTAGTCTCTTAACTTTTAACTTATTAGTGTATTCTATAGTCTTTTAGTTATGTTAGAATATAGCTTTACTATAGCTTTAGTAAATAGCTTATAGCTTTTCTAATTTCTATTCTACTTGTTTAGAAATACTATCTAGCCTCTTACAGGTTTTAAATAGGTTTAGTTTGTAGCTGTAGTTAGCATAGAATATTAAGTATTCTATAGTACTAGATTTAGCTATGCTAAAGGTAAACTAGGTTTATTAAAGCTATTCTACCTAGTTATTCTAATTTCTATTAACGTATTTTTATAAATACTATTCTAGCATGCTATTTGTTTATTCTTTTAACAGTGCTGCCTGTTAAGCTCTGCTGTTAGTCACATGATCGCGCTAAGAGCTAAGCAAGCGTGCTAGCTTCTTAGCGCTGCGCAAGCTTTCTCTTGTAAAAACTCTTCAACTTCTTCTCTCTCTATTCTAGTATAGCTGAAATAGAGCTAACTATTATAATATATTACTTTAAATTTCCTATTGCTAGGTGCCTTCTGCTAGTAACAGGTCTCTTTAGAGAGTAGAAGATAGAAGAGGAGAGGGAAGAGGTTTAGAAAGAGGTATGTTATGTAATACTTTAACTTACAACAGTGTTTAGAGGGTGTATAGTCTTCTATACAATCCTTATAGAGTAGAGGTAAAGCAGAAGAGGCTAAAAAGTAAAATAGAAGTAAAGAGAAAGTAAGATAACTAATATATCTTAAAGCTTTTATAAATAAAAAAGAGTTCTTTACACTCTTCTAGTTAAAAAGAATATTAGATATATTGCTATACCTAAGGCTATGCCTTGTAGTAAAGAATAACTACAACCTTTTAAAAGCAGTAGAAGGTTAATGTAAAGCTAAGATAGCGCTTGCGTGCAACAGATATATATACTATTCTGTACGCAACAATCAACTGTTAGTTAATTGTTCACATCTTTTTAGTTGTATTAGCGTAGTAGTATAGAGCTCTCTTCTTATAGTTAAGACTATATACCTAAAAGTAATTACAGTAATTATAAATGCTAAAGTGTAATTAACTATAGAAATATTCTGTAATTACTAAACATATAAAACTTTAGCTTAAAAGCTAGTATAGAGATTTTTATAAAAAACCTACTAAATATATTTAAAGAAACATAATTTAAGAAACTGTAGCATCTTTTACTTCTAGGCAACAGCAGGAAATAACATAGAAACATATACTATAATTTCTATAATAGCTAGAGTCTAGTAAAACTTATTAATAATAAAAAATAATAGAAATTTTTTTAAAATATAGTACACTAAGACTAAAGGTTTAAATATATATCTAACTAATTTAAAGTTCTACAACTAAGTAGAAAGTAAGTAGATACCCTACTACTAGTTATAGCAATTCCTAGAAAGTAGCTAATTCTATAAAATAATAAAAATAAATGCATCTTATATAGAAGTAAGCGTTACCTAGAAAATAACTACTAAGATAAGAAATATCCCTTATAAATAATAAAAACTTATAAATACTTATATTAGACATAATAACAACTAATAGCAGTAAGAACTAATAGCATAGAATGCCTAGCACACTAGTATTTATGCACTAACAAATACTGCTGCAGTTATTAGACTACTAAACATTAGGCTAGATAGTAGCCTATTAGAAGCATTCTCTAGGGCAACATTACTAATGCTATAAAAGGATAGGCAACTACCTGTAAAAACATAGACTACACCTATTGTAAAGAATCTCTACTACATAAGCAGACACCCTAGACAGAATGTAAACATAGATAAAAATGTGTCTTTTACTACTTCTAATAAAAGGCTTACTAATAAAACAACTAACTGCTATTTTATATAAGAATAGAAAATAAAGACTACACTAATAATAATTATATAATTCTAAAACACTATTAACGTACTTCACAGGTGAGTTGCTTACACACCTAAGTTGCTTACTTTTGCTAAGACCCTACTAAACTACCCTTCCTACACTAATGCATTCTCTATAACACTACTTAGATGTGCTAAAAAAACGTTAGATATAGCTTACGCTCTAAGCTTTTAAACAAAACATAAAACTTTTAAAGAAATATGCTATAGCTATATGCAAAGTTTTATAAAAGATAATAAATAACTATAGCGCTAGACAACTTTTATAAGCTAATTCTATAGCTAAATTATAAAGGCTAGGTAATAAAAAGAAGTAGGTAATTATTAAAACTATACTTAAGCTATAAGCGTAAGGAATTTCCCCTTAAATAGCATTTATAGCTAATATAGCTAATTCTTTACACGCTAAGCGTAATCTAGGCTATATTTATATAAACTAGCCTAGTATATTTATAAAGTTTTATTTAAAGCTTAAAGTAAAGTTTTAAGTGTAAGTATAGTTAAAAGATATTTAGCTAATTATAAAGCCTGTCTTACTAAAGTTGTATATGTTATTATTTTAGATGCTATACTTAGCTTTAATATTCTCTATAAGGCTAAACCTGCTTTAAATTACTTTAGAACTTTTATAAAAAGCTCTTTTATAGTTATACTTACGCTTAAATGTTACTTTAAGCTTTTAATAATGCTTTATAAACATACTAGGCTAGTTTATGTAAATATAGCCTAGATTACACTTAGCGTGTAAAGAATTAGCTATATTAGCTATAAATGCTATCTAAGAGAAAATTCCTTACACATATAGCTTAAGTATAGTCTTAATAATTACTTACTTTTTTTAATTACCTAGCCTTTATAATTTAGCTATAGAATTAGCTTGTAAAGGTTGTCTAGCGCTATAGTTATTTATTATCTTTTATAAAACTCTACACATAGCTATAGCATGTTTCTTTAAGAGTTTTATATTTTATTTAAAAGCTTAAAGTGTAAGCTGTATCTAATGTTCTTTTAGCGCATCTAAGTTATGTTATAGGGAATGCATTAGTGTAGGAAGAGTAGTTTAGTAGGGTCTTAGTAAAAGTAAGCAACTTAGGTGTGTAAGCAACTTGCCTGTAAAGTACGTTAATTAAAGTAAGAAAATAAGTTATTATAAACTAACTTGAAAAATTTAAACTTTATAGAATATATAAAGAAAGAAGTCTTAGAACATAATAAAATATATTATAACATATAAGTCTTTATAGCAGTAGGATAAAGCCTAGGAAAATGCCTTACTATAGACTTTAAAATACTACAACAGTTTATAAATAATCTGTAAAAGCAAAGCTTGCTTAGAGTAATTGTCGCAACTGCTAATTAGAGAGCAATAAAGAGTAAGTCTATTAACTATAAGAGGCTTATAGAGAGCTTAGGCGCTAAGTGTCTTAGGCTGCTTGTCCGAAACACAGGCGCGACACCAGGCCCATGTGCGCGACACTAGGTCCCTGTGCTCTTCTTACGCAACAGTAATAGTTAGCGCTTTAAAGTAGGTTGTCTAGGTTAAAGAATAGTTACAGCATAATGCTTAGCAAATGTAAGGACAGGGCTCCGCACCACTCCGCTAATACAACTAAAAGGTACGAATAATTAACCAACAGTTGATTTTCAGGTGCAGAATAGTATATATACCTGTCGCACGTAAGCACCATCTCAGCCTTACACGTAAGCGCCATCCTAGCCTTACAGCAAAGTAGTATTAGACAGGTAATAGATGTATAATAACAACATTTAACTATAGCATGTAACTAATTACTAACACACTAATATAGCTAAAAAAGTAAATAATAGCTAGCTAATTCTTAGCTTTAATTAAGTTAGTAAAAGTTCTTTTTTAAAAACTTAAAGTTTATGTAAATTTAAAACTAGTTATTTAGAAATTAGTTAATTATTAGCTGTAATTAAGAGAACACGTTCTAGCTCTAGCTCTTAACGCGTTCCTGCCCTTGCAATAGTCTTCCTTTGTCACAGTTATGTTACAGCTATCTAACCCCTGAGTACCCTAAGGGCTTGGCACAGGGTATATAGGTGTTACGGCCAACAGACAGACCGTAGTGACCCAATTAGCTGTCCCCACACAGCCTAGGCGACGTCAGATGGAAGATACTTAACCCTGTGCTAAACAAATCACGTGACAGGACAGATAAGAAATAGCTCTAGCTTTTAGACAAAAGCCTAACAGAATGCATTGTCTAATAAGTTAGCAAGCTTTGCAGGCTTGCAGGCTATGCAGGCTATGCAGACAGCAAGCATGCAAGCATGCACAGCATGTAAACCCTATGTATATAGTTTAGATCACAACTATAGTTAGAAGGCTATAATTACTATTTAGTCTTTACTTACTTAATAGACTAAAAGGCATTAAACCCTTTATAATAAAGAACATTACCGCCTTATATATCTTGCACTATACAGTCGCATGACAAAAGTCTGTGTACATCACTTTTTCCCCACCAAATCGCGACGCGAAAAAGAACCACGCGCATTCAATTTTATATGTAATTACATACTTTTTTTAATGTGAATAATTAAAATATATTTAATACTAAGTCTGCTAGCCATGCGCAAGTTGTACAGCCTTAACCCTCCTTAGCATTAACTAGATAAGTGTACAAATTAGTAAATTAGGTATTAGCTGCTACCCCTCCTTTAAAGCAGCACAAAAACAGTCCTAATTCTCTTCTAAATTACCTAATTTATTAAACTTAGAATAAAGC